TCTTGAACAAACCTATATACCGAAGTAGTATAACTAGGTAGTGTATATGCAGTATAGTTGGGTGGACTTTAACTTCAAACAAACGTAGGAGAGGAGGAAACGTAAGTTACGGTTATCTACGGAGTCCTCGTCGCTTCGAATACACGCATTTTGGAAATTATGGCGAGACTAATACTTTTGGACCAGGATCATTTAGTGCCTCGTGGCCGCCCCGGCAGTGTAACTAGTAAAATCGTGGCTTGGTTATGTGTAGGTAGTGTACCTACCTAATGTATGTATGGTCATATAAGTACATTAATAAATGCAATAGTCGTGTGGATACATACATGTACATAGGAGTGGTGGATGACGGATGGTGGGTGGATGGCGGATGCAGCTGCTATGGTACCTACTTATAAGTATCTCTTCCCCCAATCAGCATATACAGCATATATTGGCCCCTCTCCAACGAACGTGCTTATTCCTCCACCGCACATGGCGAGCAAGGCAAGCCACAAATGACGGGGATTTACAACTTCGAATGGCAGGTGGCAGCCCACTTAGTAGATGCACTAAAATATATTATCCACATCGCAAATGACCAATTGATTCCATCCCAAAATTCTTCACTAGGCTCATTAGACCCAGATCCGAAAGCGGGCATGTTCGGGTTTCAAATGCAGGTCAACCAAAAGCGAAGATGCTACAAGCCGCCCAAGGAGTCTTAAAAAGGAGATCGGGAAGTTTTCTAGAACAATAGGCCACGTTTTAGGAGACTCGTAGCTATTGAGATTTGATACACGGATCGCGCTACTATGTATTCCGAGAAAATTCTCTATTGTCCATGGTATCAGGGGTTGGAATTTATCGTTGCGCCTAACGTATGCACATACCATTACATACATACATACCTAGGTTAGGTAGTTATTTGGGTAGCTCTTCACGGCATGGCAGCATGGGAACCTAGGATGCTGCCGTACCGCTGTACTGTAGTACGTCGCGTGTATTGTACGGTTCTGTAAGTAAGCCAGCCGTACATACATAGCGGGGCACGCATGTGGCTAGGTCCCGCCTGCGCTATAGGTACCTCCTAACCTAGCATTTATTGTACTTACAGCACCTAAGCAGCCTATGTACATACCTAGGTAGGGCAGGGTATGACAGTGGGCCACTGACTTACAAGGGGGATAGTAGACCCCTCTGCGCTAGAACGCTAAAACGTTAATGACTGGATTTTCCTGTATGTACCTAACATGCCTCATGGCGCTATAATCTATTTTTGTACCGGGTACTTAACTCTCGCCACTAATCGCAAGCCGTTCGTAAGTCCCCTGCACCCTGTACACATGTAATGCTGTCGCCCTACCCACCTAATCTGAACTGGGTACATAACGTGTGCACCCATCCGTTAGGCAAATAGCTAAATAGTATTAGGTTTAAAGTACCTAACGGGCCCGGGGCTTCCTAAATGTGAACCTCTCTCCCAGGTACATGTATGAGGTACTTGTCTGATTTAGAGAGCTGATACTTCTCTACCCTCTACCTACCCTCTACCACTTCTACCACCCCCGTCCCGCTTCTCAATCGTTCCCATTCTATGCCTTCAACTTGAACTCCACTCCCTCCTTCTCCTCTCCTCTACCTTATTTCAGTTTCTTCTGTTTGATCCGAGCTGTTGTATCATCCTCATGATATTATTTGGCCCCCTTGCGCAAACGTAAAAGGACTCGCTGCTTTCCCCCGTCTCGATGGTAAGTATAGGTTGATGGCTGCAATCTCCCAAACCTCTCAAACGACATCGCTTCCTATACACGACCACGAGCCTCGCCAGCTACGATCCCACTCAAATTCGAATAGCAACGCTGCGGTACCTGCTGAAACCCAGAATCTTTCCCCCGCCACCATTAGAAGAGTGCATTCGAACACTCCTGTCGAAACTGGTACTGGCGGTCCGATTACTTCCTCGAACAATTTTCGTCACCACCAAGTTACTGCGTCGACCGGCTCCATTCCCGGCATTACAAAAAATCCCAAGCCTGGAGGGTTATTTGCTCGCGCTGCCGCGGCAATTGACAAGATATCAGAGCCTACTATTCGCAGTCGATCGTCTGCGTCTACTCTGAGTCGCTTGTCTGTGGTGCTAGACTCTCCGAGTAGCGAGAATCCGAATTCAGACAAGTCAAGAATCCGTAGTTTCTCGGGCAATTCGTCCGGTCCTTCTACCCCGTCTATTCTGGGCCCGGTCAAGCGGTCAAGCCAGTTGTCGTTGAAAGATCCCATCTCGAAACCATATTCCGAGACAGACGCAACTCGACCCCCTCCAATTATATTGTCTGGCACGCAGAACAAGATGCATCAAACGTCTTCGAGACTGCTCCGTATGACGGACGACGACCGTCCGTTCACTAAAGTAAGTCAAACTTGTTCCGTTAAGTATTCATAGTATGCCACTAGTAGACACTGCCGATTTGGAATTTGCTTGTAGAGTCTGCTCATAGAATTTATCATACAATGAATTGTTGCTTTCTACTGTTATACTAATAATATTTTAAGGATTTCAAAGATCTTTTCTCAACGCTAATCGTCAGCTTGCTCCCATTATCTGCTCATCGAGTACGGTTAACTCGCATTGAGCATACCTTCCTGTCTGAAGATGCGATAAATAATCTGGGTTCATTGAAGTTTTCCCAATCAAACCGCATGCCTGATCCTAAGGATCCGTCACGTATCGTAACGACAACTACAACGACTACCTTCTCCATGGCAAAGGATATGGCTAGGTCGATATGTCAACGGTTTCTTGATGCTCGCTTCATCGAATCAGCTGACGGCAAAATGCAACAAGTCTATACGATGAAGGGCTCGGTATGGCAGCTGACGCCGAAGGGTGTATGCGTTCTGGATCGTTTCTGTTCGAGGAACGGTATACAACAAAGACAGATCAGCGACCTTATTGCTTTGGGAATGAGCTATCTATGTATCCTCGAAAGGGATACCCAAACCGATAAGTTGGTAATGGACAGGGGAACGATGGAGGTCATCTTTAGGAGGATGATAGGTACGAATGGTCTGAACGTTAAGGCGAGTGTTGGTGCGGCCGATTCAGACTCGCTGAGCGATTACCGAGATGGTCTCACTGGTGTGAAGATGGCGAGCGAACGCAAAATTAATGGCAGGACATTCAAAGATACGTTCACTGGGAAATCATGTTCGGATTGGTTAATGGATTGTTGTACTACGGTTGACCGCCGCGAGACGTTTGAAATGGGCACTCTGTTCGTTCAATATGACCTCATGGAGCCTATCCAGCAAGATCGAGTTTATATGGCTTCTCAACCTGGGGCTGTTTCATTCCAACCTACGAAGACTGCCGTCTACCAGCTCACCGCCAAAGGAAGAGATATTGTCACCGGTAGTACAGGGAGAGGGCGTACATCCGAAAGCGATGGGGCTGTGGCATCGCGTACAGGTATTGCCAGAGACTCAAATACCCAACGTCTCGATAAGATCTTGAACGATGCTGCTTTGCGACTATTGTTTCGGGAAAATCTGCGAGAGACTCACTGCGAAGAGAACCTGTCGTTCTATTTGGACGTGGATGACTTTGTAAAGGCTTGCCGTAGCGCGATCAAGCAGGCCACGAAGACCCCTAGCGTAACGTCTATGGATGGGATTAAGGAAATCATGGCTCAAGCATACGGTATTTACAATGCGTTTCTGGCACCGGGCTCGCCCTGCGAGTTAAATATCGATCATCAATTGCGAAATAATCTTGCTACTCGCATGACTAAAGCAGTAGGGCAAGACGTAACAATGATTGACACCCTTCATGAGGTTAATACCCTTTTTGAAGATGCCCAGAATGCTGTCTTCAAGTTGATGGCCAGTGTAAGTGCTAGTCGAGCGCAACTATATTTCATCGATAGCTAACCTATCTACAGGACTCTGTCCCTAAATTCTTACGCAATGCGAAATACGAGCACACATTAAAGAACCACGACTTTGATGCGAGTGTTGGAAGTCGCGCGCCGGAACGCAGCCGAAGTCAATCCAACCGCAAGTGAAAAAAGACGATGATTCGGGCCATTTTAGAATCGCCCCACGTTGAGCAGACGGCATAATCCGGTTTTACGAAAACGGCGCTCTCATATATTCGATCCCGATCATCTACCATCTGTCATATTTTTCTTGCCTTAGCGACGTCACTAATTTGTGGCGTTTGATCGCAAAGACGTTAATAGCAATCTCTCCGACATATGTTTCTCGGTTAAGACTTTCTTTGTTTATTTGGGCGGCGTTGAGGATAAACTAGCATAGACACACCATCGGCGTTCTGAACCGCACCTTATCGAGTGGCTCATCTGAATTTTAACCGCGAAGCGCAAAAGGGGAAGGAAAATTCACCAGAGTATATAAGGAGGTTTTTGGTACGAGAAATGGACTGGCTACTGCAAGACGATTCCCATGGGCAATCCATTTGCACAACGGAAAGCTCGAGGTGCGTCGACGAGCAAGTGAGCTGAAGTCAACGATGCTTGGAATTATTACGTCGCGGCTTTAGAGTTTATAATGATGACAGCGTTTACTAGGGATATAGAGAGTGTGGTCTTGGGTTTTCGTAACCCTACATCACCGGAGCATTTGCAATCCGCAGTTATGAGCGGCGACTGAGCAGTGGAGGGCGCGTCTTCGGCCAAACTGCTGGCTGGCACTCTGTACATATAATTGGCTAGACTAAAGCTGGCAAGCTATCCGTTGCGGTCCTCAAAAATGGAAATCAAATTTTGAATCAGGGGGAGTCTTCGGCAGTGAAACTAATTGGAACGTGAACCACTATATGGATTAAGCCGTTCTCATCTTCAACCATCTTCCGAGCCTAGGAGAGGATGGAATGGAGTCAAGACCGAAGTAAGTTGATGGCGGTGTCGGATGCATTCCAAGACGCGAGGGGGAAAGGAATATGACCTCTACTTTTTGTTTTTGTCTCTGATTCTGCAACAAACCTATTGGTGGCTGTCGAGTATTGCCTGTCTAATTGCAGATTCTCCCGATCTAAGTCAGCGCCCTTTGTTTCCCTTCTCCCTAGCTTCTTTAAAGATGACTTCGTCCCCCCTTCTCTACCGCCGATTTCTTTTCCACCATCCACATACCCTCGCTCGTTTCCTCGTCATTCGTTAACTGTTACGCTAGATATTCGCTCTCAGTCTTCGTTTTAAGAGATTCAGTACTTCTCGCTCTCGGCAAAGACTATTACTGCTACTAATAACTATACCTTACATCTACACACACACATCTACCGTAACAGAACCTACGAAACGAAAATGTTCCACAAGACTACCGCTGCCCTTGGCCTGGTTGCCGTCTCTGGCGCCGCCGCTGGCACTGCTGGGGGTTACCCTGCTTATCCCGTCAACAACACGGCTCCCTCGTCCGTCTGGCAATACTACAATACTACCGTGCCCACGACGGTCGTAGTGCCCCAGTTCACTACAGTCTGTCCCGAGGCGACGACTATGAGCTACAATGGCGTCCAGTACACGGTTACTAAGGGCGAGACTATCACTGTTACCGACTGCCCTTGCACTATCTCTACGGTAAGTAGCATATGTATATATTTATATCCCTTTATATGTATCTACCATTTTCTAACTGTTATCCCTAAAGGCCGTCCAGACTCTTACCTCGTCTCTGTGCCCACCTGGCGTTACGCCCACCGCTGTCGCCCCTGCGGTCCCAACCGGTATGCCCTACCCTGCTGAGACGCCTGCTCCCGGCACCCCCGGCGTCCCCGCTGTTCCTGGTAAGCCTGGCAACCCTAGTGCTCCTGCCGTTCCTGCCCCGGCTGGCACCACACCGACACCTGGTGCCCCCGCCCAAGGCGGTTCTCCTCCCCCGGGCGCCAACCCAGCTGTCGGCACCAGCGGCGCTGCGCCCGTCGCCAATACCCCCAACCCGCCCGCCGGCACCGCGGGCTACACCCCGTCCGCCGTCCCGTCCGGCATCGCGGTCTCGGGCGCGGGCAGCAACTCCTGCTTCGTAGCGGCTCTGTTCGCAGCCCTCTTGGGCGCTGTGGCTTTGTAAGCGCCAGGGTAGCTATTTCGGTACCAGTCCAGGGGATCTAATCTAGCGTCTACTTGACAGCTGAAAAAAAAACCAAAAAAAATACTACAGCTACTAGAGGAAACGGAACGGAATGGGATGAATAGACCCGGCAGCATCTGGCTGTATGGGTGCGATAAACGTACTCCAACCAACCACGCTTAGAAGGATATAATGTCTATTTTCTTATCCCGTTTATCTGCCCATCCGTTGATCGACTGATCAAAACTTTCCTTTGTCGTCATTTTCTACTGTTGGTTATTTTCTGGGAAAAGTAGGGAGATTGGGGATAGGTTAGGTTAGGTTAGGTTAGGTTAGGTATGGGTTGGGGTTGGACTTGGCAAAGGGGGCGTTGCTATTATTCTATTTACTTTCTCGCTTGTCTCTAGGTTAGACGTGTACGCACTCCCGAACTATCCTTGACGCGGGTGGCGGGTTCAATAAAGGTACACTTTCATTCCTTCGTGTGTTTATGTCTTGGTTGTATTGTGCCTTGATGCGTGTCTTGTGTCATATTCTCCCTTGGGCGCGTTCCCTTACAGGTCCTCGCCCGGTTCTCGCTGTTCGAGTCTTGTGGTTCGATATATTTCTTGTAGCCTTATCAACTCATTGCCAATGCTGAATTATATATATATATATTAATTCTGCTTCGTCCCTTGATCATCCTTGCTGCTTGAGTGAGTTGGGCGACGACTCCAATAGTGCCTGAACAAGTTATTCTACACCAGCAAGGTCACTTCAAAAACAATTAGCCCCAGACTACGTTCCTTAGACACTTTCTGATTGAAAACATCTTCTCACTTAATATTTGCGAAGTGCCTGTTGGACACATCGTCTGTATCCCATAATTACAATCAGCATATCGAGGATTGGGTAACGGGCTGTATAAACACTCATAGAATCATATTCATTAAGCCTTTCCAGTTCTATGCTACGAAGGCCTTGCTATACTCAGGCAAACAACTTTTGTCCATATGCTTCGCTGCGCAACTCTCGTCCCTAACGCCGTCAATTTATAAGAGACCTTTCCATGGTCATCTGGGTATGAAGCAATGCCATCCCTTTCGAGTCTAATAATACAAAACCCGGCAAAATTTAATGCCGATGGATGCGACTCATGAGGATCATGTCTCGGACTGGACATTGCGAGTATTAAGGGCCATACTAAGCTCCGGCTGTAGCTCAAAAGCATTATTCTTGGCCTCGTTTGGTCGTCTGATGTAAAAGGGACAAGATACATTTATCTATGTGATACGCGGAGACTCGTACTCATATCGACGAGGGAGCCTGATCTCGTCTCCAGCCCTTGCTTCTCATGTTCCCCTCGATAGCCTTCCAAATATGCTCAACGATCTCGTGGTCCCTCCACCGGCTCGAATCTATCGTATTATGAACCGGCTCCTTCCAGGGATCTATGCCGACGCTCATTACTCTGTGCCCCCAGTTGCGTACGGCCTCGGGGGGCTTTTCGTTCCGCCAGCCGACGTAGACACCGGGAATGTGGCGGAATAACTCGCTGGGGTTGCTCCACTTGTAGTTCTTGAACTGCCAACTCTGGCCAGTCGTGAAGACCGCGACCACCCGATTCCAGTATTCTGGCTTGAACTGTTCAGGGCCTTCGACCAGGATAAACCTCATAGGTCGATTCGGGTCGATGTCCTTCAGTAGGCGGTTGATGTGCAGCATACTCGCACCTGTGCTGGAACTAGCAGACAGCGAGTTAGGCGGAACATATTGGCCATTCTCGAGGAAAGACTTGACATTCGTCATGCGCAGGAGAGAGGAGGCGGAAGGCGAAAGTAGGATAATAGGATCGGGTCGTCTAGGTTTCTTGTGTGTGGCCAGCGCCGGGTTATTAGATATGGCAGTGGGTGGAGCTTGTTGCGACTTCTTGGACATGAGGGGCGCAGCTAGCTTTCGAACGTGCGAGAAGTCCTATAAAATATTAGTTTCGATCTGACCGGAGGGAAAATAGTAGATCATACCGTCGGCTTGATGCCTCTAAGCACACTGTTTCGATCACCCATCTTGCGCTCGCTGTTATAGATAACCGCAAGTCTTGGATCCAAGGTACCCTTCCCCGATCTCCCTAGCTTCGCACCGATTGCAGGAGCTGCTGCACCCTTGGAAGCAAGAGCTGCAGCTGCAGTAGAAGTTGAGCCATCCTTATCCCCGGCCAGCGGCTTGATGTACTCGCATTCTTCGCTGGCTCCCTCGAGCCATGTGATAAGATCTAGCCGCTCGACAAAGGCAAGCATGCGGACTTGTCCCTTGTCCCCGAGCTCCTCATTAAGCTTCGATACAGAGGCATTGTATTCGGGAATTGCGACTTCTCGCTTCAACCAGGCAATGTAGATACTGCGCAGATCTACAGGGGTATCATTCGAGGTGAATCGGGTTTGGGTATCGATTGGGAGGGATATGTGGGAGGGGGTGGAGAAGGTGAGGTGCGTCGCTTGAGAAAGGGGAACCTCTTGCGCTGAGACGTCGCTGGACGCGGTCGGTAGAATTGCGCCTCCAGACGCGATGGACTGGCGAAGTAGGAGGAGGGGGTCTTGCTCTGTGGAAGCCATTGTCACAGGCAACCTATTTAGGCGTATTACCGTTGAGAAATAGCTGCTGAAATGACGGGATGGCGAAAGCTTGAACTTGAGATCCCGAAGTTGAAAAAGAGTTGAATGAAGCTCAGCCTCGGGCGGTTTGGAATTGAACGCGAACAAGGCTGGTCTTAGCGCGAATTCAAAGTGCTTATGTACAGCGATATCTTTTTAAATACCCTTCTTTAGTGCATAGGTACCTAGATACCTAGGTATGTATGCACATATACAATATAAGGTACCCACCCTCCTTAACTGAACCTTTTTTCAATGAACTTTTGTACCTTGTGTACCTTTTCTTATGCTTTCGATATAAATTATAATTCACAACGATAGCCCTAACGAGAATACCCAACCTAGAAGGTTTAAGTGTAGGGTTGCATATATTTCACGACTATATCCTCACTTCGTCGTTAATATCTACCTAGCCCCTATTTAAGGTGTTGCCGCTCCCTTTAGGGTTAGCCTCTGTGAATTCATCCCATTCCCTAGCCTTCATAGTCTCAGCATCTGCCTTCTCGATATTATCCTCATCTGGTTCAGGCCTATTAAAGCTAGCTTCTCCACCACCTTCGATGATATTGCCTTGTCTTCGTTCCTCTTCTAGGTACTCATCAATAGTCATGGTTGGAAGATTGTGGCCCGGACGAAATACGCCCCTCTGAAGCTCTGCCCGATTAGATGTGAGCGTGAATGGCCTCAAAGGCTTTCCCTCTCTGCTGAGAAGTGGGCCATTACTCGAGGATAGGAGAGTGCTCAAAGGGAGGTCTAATCTGTCAGAATAACCATCGTTATCATGCTCTGCTCTGCGCCGCCGCTCGTCATCTTCAACTGTTGCTGCTTGCGACATTGGAGGAGCTGGTGCTTGCGCTAATATTTCTGCCTCTCGATTGATTCCCTCCAAGCCCTGCAATGTCATGTGCGTACAGAAAGCAACATTCGTGAGATACAGTTCCCGAACAGCTTCTTCATCTCCACCATCCTCTAGATATCGTGGAGAGTTTCGCATATACTCTAGCTTCTTCTTCAACTCCTTCTCTGCTTTGAAATTGGCAATCTTGGCATTGCGCCGAGCTGCGGGATCTGAGGTAGATATGGTAGAGAAGGCTGATGGGTCTTCATTATATCCGGCGAACAGCTTACTGTCTGATGGGGATAATATCGAATAGTTGTCGAGAAGGTGTAGAAACCTCTCATACGATTCCCGGGCCGCGTTCAAGACAGATTTTCTTTCCGAAGGTGACTGTGTTGAGACCTTCTGAAGGAGTTCGGCTATGCGATAGTTGACCAATAGGTAAGGGAGGTCAGATGTAGCAATATCCTCAAGCCCTTCATTAGGACTAAATAGTGAGACCTTGTTGATAATCCGAATGCATTCCTGGTATAAATTCAAGGCTTCGGCAAGATCCTGGCTATAGGTGGGTGAGTTTGCTTCATAAGTGCCTTCTAAAGCTACCCGCTTTAGTTCGGCAGCCTGGAACACAGACTTTAGGGACCTTGGCTCTTCACTCATTGCGACTAGGTCATCGACGGAGTGTAAAAGATGAGGTTGAAGTTGGCGACAAATGCAAATTTACTACCCAGGTACCTAGCAAAGAGAATATAAGCATTTAGCGGCAATAAATGGCATAAAAGTGAAGACCCTTTACCGTTTAATGGGTATATTCAGCAGCTTACAGCTTTATTAGATGCAGGCAAGATGCTGGTAAACTGATGAAAGCAAGACGTCAGTGCTGTCAGTGCCGTCAAAGCAGGGGTTCTATGTATGTATTCCGTAGTAAACCTCAATGGTTATCGACTCCAGCACATGCAGCTGCTTGAGCGCTAATTTTAGACTGAAAGTGGAGTCATTAGTATACTATGTTTAAATGCATAGAGATGTTCCCTTATCGAGGGTACCCTTAAAAGGTATCGTAATTGGAATGAATGCATCAGATATCGACATCAACAGACTAAACCTACCTTCTCCTTAACATAGTAGAAACGAACAAGAATCAATGAAATAGCAGACCATCAGATACCAGGCTATTTACTGAATATTATTAGGTACTTACCTTACCTAACATATAAGCAGGTAAAAGAGAGAAAAAGCCCATTGCCTATGAGTATCGTGACTAAGGTAAGATTGCCTACCAATACAATTACGGTAGATACCTACCTACCGAATCTCAAATTGTAGGTTTGGAAGGTACGATATCGTGTTTGGTACCTATGTGCGAAACAGGTATGATTCCAATCACACAGCCCGTCGTATGTTACGGAAGGTACAAACAGCGTTATCACGCCACGCCACCTGCACTCTGTATAGGCAAGTTGATAAGTACATACCTACCTAGGTACCTAACCTACCTTCTTCAATTATTTCATTCGCTAGAGCTGCTTCCGTAAATAAATAAAAGAGGAAATCACGATTTACATCGAAGCCAGTTACTTGTGGTTCGTCGCAATCTTTTCCGTAGTCCTTCTCCTTTACCACACAAGCACACCTCCTTAACATCCCCCGTTACTACACCACAAAGATTATTGTGTAGATTATTCTACAAATACCGAACCCTTAAGCCTTGTTACTTAATACTCATAGCAGCATGTCTTCGTCGGACTCTGGGGCTGACTCTGGCTCAGAAGATGATAACCCTTCCCCTTCAGTTACTCAACCCAAAACGAAGGCTAAGGTGTTTGACAACTTGCAGTTTTCCCAGTTCATGAGAGATCACCAGGAAAAAATCTACAGCTCTATACCAAGCTCAGTTACCAGGGACGAAGATAAATCTACCAATTCGCTTGTGAGAGAGGCAGAGAGCGAAAGGATTATCTCAAGTCCAAGGGAATATCAAACCGAATTATTTGAGAGGGCCAAGCAGAAAAACATAATCGCCGTTCTAGATACTGGTACGCCTTTCTTTTCTCACTATATGTGTATCCTGTACTGTTGGAATACTTACTGAAAAGTTACCTAGGAACCGGAAAGACGCTTATCGCCGCTCTCCTCCTTCGTCATACCGTCGAGCAGGAACTAGAAGACAGAAGCGCTGGCAAACCGCCAAGGATATCTTTCTTTTTAGTATCTCAATCCCACAATGACTTTCTCCCACGTTGTACTGACAGGTACACAGGTTGATAAAGTTGCCCTAGTGCTTCAACAATATGAAGTTCTCAAGGCAAACCTGGACCATTCTGTCCAGCGATTTCATGGTGACCACGGGGGCTCTATCCTAAATTACGACTTCTGGAAGCAGAAGATCGAGGAAAGTATGGTTATAGTTTGCACCGCCGATATACTTCTCTCGTGCCTTCATCACTCCTTCGTTAAGATGGAAGGCATTAACCTTTTAATATTTGATGAGGCCCACCATACCAAGAAGAACCATCCGTATGCCAGGATCATCAAAGACTTTTATGCACCATTAGAGCGAGAACAGCAGCGGCAACCCCGAATCCTAGGTATGACCGCATCACCCGTCGATGCAAAAACGGATCCAACGTCTGCTGCCGCGAAATTAGAGGGGCTTCTGCATAGCGAGATAGCGACTGTGGCGGATGTTTCAGTCTTCACGAAGTCTTCGATCAACCGACCTATCGAGGATTTCATCGAGTTCAGCGTGGCCCCAGAGCCCTTTGAGACGCCACTTTGGCACAAGCTACATAAGTTGGTCGGACACAACGATGCTCTAAGAAAGCTATTCGTCTATTCCAGGGATTGTACTGCAGAGATGGGTCGCTGGTGCGCAGACTGGGTCTGGAAAATATGCTTGACCGAACAGGAAGCTCATAAGCTGGAAGCGAAGACGGAGAGGAATTTCATGTCTAGCAAAACGCATCTCCCTATAGCCGCTCTCGACGCCGAGATATTAGCTGTCCGAGACGCCTATAAGATAGTAGCTAGCCATTCATTTCCCCAACCTCAGCGGAACCCCTTTTATCTATCCGACAAAGTCGAAGCCCTTATTGGAGCCCTCCGGAAGCATTTAGATCCACTTAAGGATAAGTGTATCGTATTCGTAGAACAACGCCTTACTGCGTTATTGTTGGCAGATCTTGTGAAGCAGTCGAGCTTCAACATGCCTGAGATCAAGGCCGGCGTACTGGTAAGTCTATTCGCTATTCACTACGACCGAATTAACTAACATTTCTGAAGTTAGGAGCGGGTAGCAACACTGGCGACTTGGGAATGACTTTGAAGGAGCAATTTGTGACCATGCACCAATTCAGAAACGGCGATCTAAATTGTATCTTTGCCACCAGCGTTGGCGAAGAAGGCATTGACATGCCCGATTGCAATATTATCATTCGATTTAATCTTTGCAAGACGATGATTCAGTACATTCAATCGAGAGGCAGAGCTCGGCGCAAAAACTCCAAATTCTTCCACATGGTCGAATACACCAATTCCACTCAGTTACAGTCTATCTTTGAGCACGAGGACAGCGAAGCAAGACTCCGCAGGTTTTACAATACCCTGTCTGAAGACCGGCTCATTACCGGAAACGATTATAAAATTGACTATTTCCTATCTCAAGAGAGGAGCCACCGTGTCTACGTTGTGCCTTCAACCAAAGCCAAGTTGACATATAAAAGTAGTCTGGTAATCCTAGCCAACTTCGTCTCAACGCTACCGCGTCCCTTGGATACTATCTATACTCCGGATTATATAATAAGAGCCATTGGCCGAGAATTCGAATGTGAGGTTCTCCTACCAGACACCTCTCCAATCAAAGGTGCGCTTGGGCGACGCGCAGATTCCAAGCAAGTTGCCAAGTGCTCCGCTGCTTTCGAGATGTGTCTGCAATTGAAGAAAAAGAAGTACCTTGACGATTATTTGCAATCTACTTTTACTAAGAAGCTCCCGGCTATGCGTAATGCTCACTTGGCTATCAGCTCGAAGAAGCGATCTGAGTATTCCATGCGTATAAAGCCTGAAATCTGGGATAAACGAGGCCGTCCAGAGAGCTTATACGTGACGGTCCTAAAGCTAACCTCTCCAGAAGCATTGGCGAGATTTTCGAAACCGCTAGCTATTCTCACGAGGTACCCACTTCCACGAACAGCCAAGTTTCCCCTATTTTTCGATCATCAGCGTACCTCAGATGTAGAATGTATACCTCTTCTACGTGCCTTGAATACAACGCCAGAGGAGATCGATCAAGTCAATGCCTTCACAATTAAAGTGTTCGATGACGTGTTCAGTAAAGAGTACCGTTCGGAACCGGAAAAAATGCCTTACTTCTTTGCGCCCCTTATACATCCTCACAGCTTCAATTTTGCTAGTGCATCTGACGACGTTCGTGTCTTAATTGACTGGGAGTGTCTTTCTATGATTCAATGCGCAGCAAGATCCCTTGAATGGGAAAATAAACCAGACGAGTTTTTCCAGGACAAGTTCGTCATTGATCCTCACGATGGGTCACGTAAATTCTATACGGTTCGCCGCCGTCACGATCTCAAGCCAACTGATCTAGAGCCGCCGGGGATTTCCAAGAACCAGACCGGTAAAAAATCCACCCGGGAAGCACAGAACGACATTTGGAATTTTAGTATCAGCTTGTGGTCAAAGTCGCGTTCTAAATTGACAGTTCGGCATGAACTACCTGTCGTTGAGGCCGAGTATATTCCACTACGACGGAATCTTCTTGATGAATTGGACAAATCCTATGATGTGGAACGAAAGTGTTTTCTTGTCTTTGAAACTTTGAAATTCTCGCCTGTAAGTTCTTCTGGCCGCCTACATTCGTATTCTTAAAGCTTAACCAATTAATCTAGTTACCGGTTGATGTGGTTGCCATGACCTACAATCTACCTGCGATAATATATCGACTCGAAACTAGTCTTATAGTGCTAGAAGCTTGCAAGTCCCTATCCCTAGACATACGTCCCGACCTCGCCCTGGAGGCAATGACTAAAGACAGTGATAATACCGAAGAACATTCGGAAGAACAAATAAATCTTCAGCGAGGCATGGGGACGAATTACGAGCGTCTTGAATTTCTTGGTGATGCATTCTTGAAGATGAGCACAACAATTGCCCTGTTCTCTCAGATCCCCGATAGCAACGAATTCCATTACCACGTCGATCGCATGCTACTAATTTGTAACAAGAACCTCTTCAACAACGCGCTAGATCTAGAGCTGCAAGAGTCGATTCGATCGCAGGGCTTCAGCCGACGGGCGTGGTATCCGGACGGCCTCGATCTACTGAGAGGCAAGCAGAATACTAGCATCAAGGGGAAGAAGGGTGTCAGGGAAATTCATACACTCGGAGACAAATCAATAGCTGATGTTTGTGAGGCGCTCATCGGGGCAGCATATCTGACTACCTATGAACAGCACAGCTTTGACATGGCCATTCAGGCCGTTACTAAGTTCGTCAATCACCAAAACCATAAGATGATGACATATGGAGATTATTATGCAGCATATAATGTTCCGGAGTGGCAAAGCGCCGACGCCACGGCAGTTCAACGTGAAGTAGCCAGGAAGATCGAAAAGAAGCTTGGCTATAGATTCACGTATCCCCGCTTGCTACGCAGTGCATTCATGCACCCATCGTATGGTACCATATACGAGCGTATCCCAAATTATCAGCGACTGGAGTTTCTCGGGGATGCACTACTCGACATGGTCTGTGTCGACTTTCTGTTCCATCGGTATCCAAGTGCGGATCCCCAATGGCTGACCGAGCACAAGATGGCGATGGTATCAAATCAATTTCTTGGCTGCCTTTGTGTCTCCCTTGGGTTTCAGACACATATGGTGTCTATGGATAGCGAGGTACAAAGAGACGTTACGGAATACGTAGCCGCTATAACAGAAGCTCAGCGAGCAGCAGAAGAAGAAGCTGAATCGGCCAATCTTGGACGTGCTTCATACGCAAAGAATTTCTGGGTTGAGATTCAGAGACCGCCCAAGGCACTCCCCGATATCGTGGAAGCATACATCGGCGCCCTCTTCGTCGATAGCAAGTATGATTATAGCCAGGTGCAACGATTCTTCGACACGCACATGCGGCCTTACTTCGAGGATATGCACATTTACGATACGTTCGCTAACCGACATCCGGTCACCTTTCTAGCAAATATGCTGCTGCTGCACTTTCACTGCGCCAACTGGCGCCTCATGGTACAGGAAATCGCCATTGAGGGTGATCCGTTGGGCCAGGCGCAGGTACTCTGCGGCGTCATGATCCACGGTCAAGTCCGAGAGCACGCCATCGCAGCTAGCGGCCGGTATGCCAAGATTGCGGCGGCTAAAAAGATTATGGACACACTACGGGAGATGGACGTTGATCAGTACAAGGATATGTATGGATGTCGCTGCTCGCCTGAGGAAGCTGAGGCTTCGGATCCCCTCGCCGAAATTACAGCTATTTGAAAATGAGAAGTTCAAGGGGAGTAATAATCTTCGGGTGTCTTTAGAAGCTAGCTTCTAGTTCGTATGCTTGCTATCCCAGGATACATGTATAGTAAGCTTGAGTCGTAGCTTTTCTCTAAATTCGACGATTTCAGATGAGTGAACACGGCTTTCACGCCCACATTATGAGGGCGTCGTGAATTATGCTGAAGTAAGCACTCTTACGGTGAATATTATAGAATATCTAACGACCATGCATTCCTTTTAATATCTAGACCCGGAAAAATACCTACCCCTAAGCTCGTCTCTCGATAAGACTGTTTTAAACTGTTTAGCCCCATGAAAGTTTCATCCTTGGAACATAGTTGTGCTCTACTGCCTCGATCTAGGTATATTCAAGCCAAGCATACAACTCCCAGTCAGACTAAACGCAATACGATAGCTGATCACGTTCTACAAGGGTAAGAAGGTGTAGGTACCTAGGAACCTAGTCTCTCACCAGCATCACAGTTTACTCATCCACACCACGCGAACTTCTACGTAAGCTTGCACAAGTAAACTAAGAAGGAATAATGTATTGTCTTTAGCCAAACAGGAATTCCCCGTGACTACCCAACCTAGGTTATTGCAATCGAATCCCACCTTAACTGTGACAACCATGTAAACACAACTCCCTATTGAGGCCGACTATTAGTAAGACCTATCCTACCTAACCTACGGCACTGGGGGTATAAAATAAGCGCGAGCCTCGCCGGGCATCAGTGCCAACTCATCGCCGTGCGCCAAACTGTTCTAAATCATGATAAATATCATTATAATCATATGCATAATGAGGGGAGGTATGCTGCTGCCTCGAGACCTCCGTGGTGATGATGGATGAAAAGGGGGCATTGTAAATATGCTTTCCCCGCAAGGTTTATAGTTAAACCCTTAGTTTTAGGCACTCGCAATTTCATAACTTAGTATTCGCGTAACTAGACTGGTCGTCGAACTCGATCCTAGGAATGCAGAAATCAGGTGATTTCCCCTTTTCCTTGGTCTTCCGCAATGAGGCGCTGCTTGCACGCTGTTTTGACTTGGCCTCCCTTTGAAGCCGCGCGACTATGGCCATGTCGGGTAAATCTAAGTCATCATCCTCGAATAGTTGGGCAGTAGTTTCGTACTGCCGCATATTACCACAGGAGTGGTATCGGTGATCACTTGGGCGCTTAAAAGGAATATCGAAATTCAAGTCTTCTTCAGACTCGTTTTCAGGCTCTGAATAATCATTACCTTCAGAATCAGTATAATCAAACTCTGGTACCTGCAAGCGAGATGACCTAGACTGGGACTTATGCTTCAGGGACGGAGCCGAGTACTGAGAACTGAAAGTAGAAGAAAGTGCATCCTCGAACTTTGTAGAGCTGAAGGTGGTTAGGTGAAGCGGATCCTTGGGTGTATAGGGTATTCGTGGCTGGGATCGTTTCGGCTTATTAGGCTTCGCCGTTATGTCAAATGAGGCCGGAAGTCCTGGTAGCTGAGAACCTTCCATCCCGTAGCCTTGAAAGAGAAGGTCCTTCTCAAATTCACCTGCAGAACGCTTAGGAGCATCAAAGGAATCGACCGATGAGGTATCCTCGTCGATAGCGAAATTTATCGAAGACTTCCGTCGACTAGAGTTGAGAAGAGATCCTGCCAACAATTTAGGGTCGACATCATGATACGAGGGCTCCGGCGCATCAAGTTCCATATAATTCCTCGTTGCTGCGCGATTTCCACTAGGTGAAAAAGACGTTTCTTCTAACTCAGTAGCCTTGGGTAGCGGTACGCGAGGGGCAAGATCCACTGAAGTATTAGTGGTATGACCGGATTGAGGCCTGAACGGATTCGAGCTCTGTGTTGAGCCTCCCGTTTCGGAAGTTAGTGACCAACGGCGAATACTGCTGCCTCGTCCCGGAACTACGTCTTCAGTTTCCGACCGTTTGAGACTCTTCATGGACCCGGATATGATGCTTTCATTTCCATAACGACGGTTTGATTCGTCTTGGCCACTAGAGCGACCGAAGATGGTTTTCAGGTCTGTGGACAACTTATTAGCAAATAGGTTACACGATTCAAAAGGATAAAAAAAAAAATCAAAGCTGGGCTACTAACCGATCGGCTCTGGGGGTTGCAACGATGTCAATTCATACAATGAGCCGTCGAAGTCGGGTATAGGTCCGCGATGGCGCTTCGGAGAATCAGGATTCTTGTTTCTGTATAGGTCCTCTTCTGTGCTTGGCAAGTTACTCTCGGTAATTAGTTCGCCACGATAGGGCAAATGGAGAGTCCTTAGGTTCCCTGTCTTCAATGGTGGCTTAATGCTGGTTGAAGATATATGTGACATGGTTCTGCGCTGAGGAGAGTTATTGAGAGTCCGGTTAAAATCGCTGCGCGCATGGTAGGCAAGATCACTGTCAGAATCCTGCCTGTGAATAGATATTTGCTGTGACAGGCTTGATTGCGTTGGGTTGCCTCTCAGGCCTAAATCCACAGATGGATCATATTCAAACCCTTCCCAAATCGCTGCGCGAGCCAACTCTTGTAGGGACTCGGGAAAATATTCCGAGTCTTGTCCCTTGACTCTTCTACCCGTAGAAGCACTCCTCGGTCGCTCTGACGAAGATGGGGCATACGAATGCAAGGACATTCGACGAAGAGCCTTTTCAGTTAGTGTTGTTTCGTTCGTTGGGTCATCTTGATATGCGCGCAAAGCTAACGTCGCAGGTGACGCGGTTCGAAAATTAGAATTGTTTGACTTGGTCTGCAACCCATATCCCATAGATTGTCTTTTCCTGGACGAACGCGGTCGGTCAAGCTCCTCGCCGTCGCTCCAAATGCTTGAGGCTAAATTCCTTCTATAGAACTCCTTGGCCTGTGGAGAGTTGAGGCTGGAGCCATTCTCGCTAATGTTGCGATCTGCAACGTCCTCATCGTAATCTTTAGTACCAGTAGCCTTTACGCGACCATAAAAATCATATGGCTTGATGAATGATTGAGCTTCCAGTAAGTCGACGAATCCACGTGTCGATTCCGAATCCCCGCTAAAAATTGAAGAATTTCGACGGCGGGTGTAAGTTGGGGATGGCACGCTGTGAATATATTCATTCCTCTCGGTTGGTATCTTCGGCGGAAGTTTGTAGGGTCCGTGTCGTTTCTTAGGTGGTTCTCGTATCGACTTTACTGGAGTTCCTACTCGGGATTTTGGCCGGGATAATCCTTCGGGTGACTGGGTAGGGGCCGTATTGGGACGGTTGAGTAGACGAGGAACTATAGGAGGCGGTGCAGAATTATCATTGAAATGTCCATTTCTCAAACGTGGGTGCGATTTCTGGAATTTCTCTAAAATGCTTGGTCCATTACCAGCAACCGGATAGGTGCCTTAAGTGAGATAGGTCAGCTCGGAGATTTACCAGATTCCTGGGATGGAGGCTCGGCTCATACCGCGGATTGGAGGATTGGCGGCCACAGTCTCATCGTAAGCCTGTGCCTTGAGATTATTGTTCAAGTTACCGGTAGGTTTTCTTGATAGAAAACTCAACCAACCCATTTCGAAGATGGAGTCGGGTTATTCGTATGAAAGGTAATTAAGCCCATAAAATATACGTAAATATTCGTTCCTTACTTCTCTTATCTCCGTAATTATCCTTGAAAGACGCGGGCCTCCATCAGGATTAAGCAGAAGGGAGCTGCTATTTCCGCCATATAGCATGAACTAAAGTAGTGAAAGAAACATGGGGAACAAAGGAAAAGAGCAAGAAATGATGGGAGGAAAGGAAATGTATGTGATGTATGTGGGAGAGAATTGTAAGAGAATCGTATTGTAGAATTAACGCGGTAGATGAGAGAAAGTCGGAAAGGAGAGGATACCAGAGACGCAATAAACGGGGTGATGCAAGGATACCCAGATAAGTTTAAAGGCTGAATGAAGACGACCGACACTTCAGTTCATTATATTTCACAAGTGAGTGTAAGTGTGTATGGAAGTGCCCGGGTGTGGAAGTGTATAAGTGTGTAAGTGTGTAGGTACCTTATGTATGTACTGTAACTAACCTAGTAGTAAACATTGTTTATTAAGCTAAGGCAGTAACTATCTAAAAATGTTTAGGGGGGAAACATCGAGAACCTGCAGCTAGTCAAATAATTTACACGTCGTACCTTGCGTTTGTTTGTACGAAGTATGGCTTCCTTCTTTTTTTCTTTCGTGAGGGTCCGTGGTACCTGGTCCACTTTACTCCTTGAAGAAACCCCACACGCCCCTTTCGATCATTCATTCGAGACCCCATTGGTTCCTGGGACGCGGTTGATAGACCGGCGCAACTAGCCGTTTATCACACGGGTACCTATGCTTTATGTTGTTTGCAAATACAGAGCGTACTACTTATGTGTAGAGCACACATCACAACCTTATAAGTACCTACTTGTTAATTCATTATCTTACCTTATAGCCGAAAGTAAGTATGTAGTAACTACAATGCATATGCATATGCATATGTACTAACTACTACATACGCGTAGCCAACCTAATTTAAGAAGTACTTCCTTATATTACAGGATAGGTACAGGACCCGATTCCGTTCCAACAACGATCTAGGTTAGTAGGTCAAAGCATCAGCGGGCTGCTTACGTACAGAATACCTCCCTGATGGATGAACTGATACTACAACAGAGCACATAACGCTGCGAATTTATGTTGCATTGGGCATTGGGATCATTAGAATTCAAGTATATCCTATTTTGCTATTACTCCGGGACAAGGCTAATCCTACGGTAGATGCATATTAAAGATAGCCGATCCTCGACGGACAATCAGTTGTAGCCAATTACATCTTGGGACTTTAGCTCACGCTTAAATTCTAATGATTCCTTTGAATGCTATTATCCTCTTTTTTTTTCTTTTTTCTCTTTTTTGCGGGCCGCCGAACTTATCCTCCAGAGAGGATTAGGCACCACTTGCATGTAAGTGCCAGAAACGCTGAATGAATCTGTGTCTTACATCTCATCTGTGTCTTACATGAGCATCTAGGTATGACATCAAATTTCAAGATCCAGAATGCTGGGATATAAGATCGGAGAAAAGGGGAATCTGTAGCTCGTCATCATCCTTGTAAGCTCTCACGCTCCTACGGAGTAGTGTATGTAAGTATTGTGGTAGTCCTACCTCTATCCTCTATCGGGCTAGCTACCCGAAATCTTAGGCTCTTTTATTATTCGCCAACACGATCCAACTTTAGCGTTTGCTAGTGTGGTTATCAAAGATGGGCGAAGGACTTGTAGGTTTCGTATATGCCGACCATCCATCATAGATCACATGCCAAGTAGATGATGATAGGTGATGGATAGTGGATAGAAACTTAAGTGTACTACAGTCTCTAGTGCAGAACAATGGATTATCTTCCTTACTTACTAGTCACCGTTAGCGGGAATAGCGAGAATAGCAAGAATAGCTGAAGACTAAATCCACCCAATGGTAACTACTATGTACTAAAGTGCTACCTAGTAAATCTAAGCGAATCTTCATGGGCCAATGGGGAGCGTCGATGACCCCCCAAAATCGAAATGTCTAAAGATGTCTTAAGATACCACGTCCTTGAATCACTTTACTCGAAGAGGAAGAGACTGTTCCGAATCACCGCTGTCGACTTGGAATGTCTCAGTTTCAAACAGATAACTTCGAGTAATCGCCGAAACGCCACTTGGCTGAAGGATAAGACACAACAGATTACCATCGCATCAACGAGTGAGATCGCAGAGGTGCCCGTTTGCTATAACTCCAAGCTAGGGATATATGCTTCCAGCGCGTAGCCACATTAGACTCCTCTTGGCCTCGGCAGAGCACGTATGCAATCCGGGTCTTTAGCAAGTATTGTTTATTTATATGGATCCGACGTTATCATAGTCGTAACAATAGTGAGCACTCGGTAGCCGTGAACACTATCGACTGATTAGGAAGTCCCCGAGAAGCATGTGGTTTAATAATTTAACGTACGATACGAGCACAACAAAAGCCTGTAGCGCAACAGAGTTTCTTAGCACGAGGGAAATAGGTCTCTTGTATATCAAACTACCTAACCTACTGAGGTACCTAGGTAGGCGTTGCATACCAAATTTATAATATTAGGGTAAGTCATTGGTCGTTTGCGTCTTGGTGGTAGGGTAGCCAATGGATCAATGTTCCTGCTCTGTCCTTCTCTCCTCTGGTAGTAGGTGTAAGAACACACGTAGTTCTCATAAACACATGGCTCGAGAATATTAGTATATACTTCACTCACCCTTTTTCCTACAATGTATTGAAATCGAGACGGTCAGTTCTGAAGAATAAGTGAGTGTCTAGGCTGAGCTTATCTTGGATTTTCGGGGTAACAACATATGTTATGCCTATACTATTTCCTCCTTAAAAGGTTCTTCTTAACAGGTCGTTTCCTGAATAATATATGGCAAGTCCCAAGAACCGATTGCAACTACCAGTGAAGGTTAGGAGTAAAAGAACTCGTAGCCCATAAACATAACCCATAGAACTTACCTCATATACTCATATACACCTATGCTCAGAAGTGAAGGGAAATGCATAATTCTCCAAGGTTAAGCACCCGAAGTTGGTAACGTTGTCTTGGATGTCGGAATACCATCTTCACCTACTATCCCAAACTCTTCATAGCCTTCAGATTCCCCCTAGACAAATATAACCTATACAGAACACTTAAATGTAACACCACTAGTACGAATGACACAATTGCCCATTTCTGGGCCGAACTCAATCTCGAAATCAGAGCGCACGCTACGTGAGGTCTAAATAAATCGAAGCCCTCCAGTCTGATCTAGAAGGAAACACGATGACCGAAGGAAAACAGAAATGCAAGGCAAACGAGGCCGACGCCGCTGAAGATTGCAGCTGGCGAGGTGACAGCCCCGAGCCAGAGCTAGATGATCTTGCACACAAAGAGGAGCCCCATCGACCTCGGCCGCCCGATGAGGTCTGTAGTTGGCAGGGTGATCCTCCTGAGCCCGAGTTAGATGACCTCGCCCACAGTCCCAAGCTATCACCTAGGTCTCAAGTACACACACGCGTTGAACAACTGCTAGAGGAGATTGACCCAATGCCACTGGATGCTTTCCCTAAGCCAGAAAATCACAAGAAAGCTTCGAAAGCGCACTTTGAAGGTTGGTTGCCATCTTATATCATCACTGTTATACCTGCGTAAAAGCTCTGGAGACTCCTAAGCTAGATGGTTACATCGAAGTCTTATAAAATCATAAACCAACTGATATCTTGATTCATTAGATGAACAGCCTGGAGAACAAGAACAAGACGTTACGGAAGAAACCTTACATGAGAGGATTACGCACGGAGTGCAGCACGTATTGACCGTCTTCCACAGTATCGTCAATCCTTCCAGTTCCCAAGCCCACGAAGAAGCGTCAGAAAACAATGCGGAGCCTGCCGGCGAAGAGAATAATGCTCCCCCAGGGCCTTCTCGAATCCCGCCGATCCTCACCACAGTTGAACCGCAGAATTCTGAAGGTAAGAATCCTAAAGAGGAAAAGCAGAAGGCGAAGAGAGATAAGGCAGAAGCCAAGAAGGTCGAAAAGGAAAGAAAGGCTAGAGAAAAGGAGGAAAAGAAGAGACTCAAGGTAGAAAAGAGAAAAGAGCGCAATGAGCACAAAGAACGACGCCACAAGGAGAAGGGAAAGAAGAAAAGCAAGGGGAAGGAAAAGGAGACTGCTTCACCTCCCGATCTACCTCCTGGAGCTGATGGCCCGGCTGCCATTGAGTCGCATCATCATCCCGGATGTCAAATATGTGAGCATCCTGAAGAGCAGGGAACACACGACTTCATGAAGGACTTGTTAGAAAGTTGGGAGGGATTACCATCTCTCAACGACCTTACCGAAGCTGCCAAGAAACTGCTCGGATTGAAAGCCACAGATGACACCCCCGATGCGCAGCAGAGCTGCCAGAACCTTTCCTTGAACGAGCAGGAGCTGATAGAGCATATTGCAGCGCACATCGACAGACACATACACCAATACATAGACCGCAATCCATCCGGAGAAGGTGACGCGTCGGCCGGAAAGTCCTCGTCCAACAAACCTTCTTGCCAGAACCCCGGTCAGGGACCAGACACACCTGGCCAGCAACAACAAGCTGGCTGCGAGGATGGGCGCCCTACCAGCCACGGCTTGGACGGTAATAGGGACTGGCCTATGACTATCATGCAAGGCCACATCTTCCGCAGCATCGAGCCAATGTCTGTCCCCGACATCGCCACCTCGCAATCTCCCCCTCGGGATTGCTCGCCCTTCCGCACCCCAACGAGCCGTTGCGTCTCTCCGTGGTGCGAAAAACTCGGTCTTAAGTTGGATGACCCGCCCCTTTTCCAGAAGCCAACGGTGCCGTGGTCGAGAAGAGGGTAAGACCACAATACACATAACATCTGCTTTATAAACAGATAACGTACGTATCTACCTGTTATGCTGACCCAAACCCGCATCCCAGATTCAACTCCAGCCCGAGCCGCATGAGAACCGCCGCCACCCCTTCCTGCCTCAACGCGCCGCTATGCTCACACCCGGTCTACCACGAGCATGGCTTATACGCTTGCGTCCCCGTCTCGCTGGTGCCGGCTCTCAGCCTCGAATCTCCCTGCTGTGGTCATAGCAACTGCCACTACGCATCGCCGATGATGACGCCGATGCCAGTTTCGCACACCCCGCGCCCCTTGTTCAATTTCGAACCGTTCGGCACCGCCGAAACGATCCCTCCCAGCACCCCTCGCAGAAGTCTGTCGGCTAACGAGACGCAGATCGTGTTTTGATACTCCTCATGGTTGAAAGGTGGGCTTGGTGGGAGCTTAGATTAGGTGCCTAGGTTGTGACGGAGCGCATTCGCTGGAAGATTGTTCGTGGGGGTCGTCGATATGCAGGATATGGCGTGTAGAACAAGGAGGTTTTGATAGACTGAACAATTGGTCTGAAGATTGCTAAAAGGTTGGTCCTAGAATGTAACGAAGATTGCTGAAGTCGATTATAAGTGGTATCATTAGAGTATTCATATTGCTCGTGTTGCTTCTATCGAAGCCAGGACTTAGACCGGTATATTGACCGTTCTAGAATAAATAGCCCTATAGGCCTCCCCCCTTAGAACTCTAAGTGTATTGTCGTCTATTTGTATGCTCGTGAAAAGCAGCCTGGCTTTCACGAAAAACACGACGATAGGTACATCATCATACACTGCGGTTTAACTTACACAGACATCCTCATTCGTCTATCCCTAGAGAAAAACATACCCGGGTAGGTACCTAGGTAGATAGTCGCAGACCAGCCACCCCCATCATCATCATCACCATTACCATCACCATCACCACCACTCTAATCCAACGACCCGGCCAGCGCAACGCAACTAAAGCGCATATCGCCACCCCCTCGCTCGAGGAACTGCAGCGGCCCCCACAGCAGCGCCTTGTCGGACAGCACGTCCTCGCCGTCAGCCAGCTCTCCGCGGGCAATGGGGCCCTTGCGGCGGCCGTCGAGCTCCCACAGCGTGCCGTCCTCCGTCTTCACGAAACACACGTAGTGCAGATCCACGTCGTCTTGGGCGTCGGGCGCGGCCGTCGCGCCCCGGCTCGCGGCTTCTTGGTGCGCGGCGGCGAGCTCGGGGGTGCGTTCTAGAAGGGCGGAGCGCTGGGCGGGGGGCAGCGGGGTCGAGGCGGTTAGGAGGCGGTGGAGGGGGGTGTCGGGTTCTGGACGAGGGGATCAGCGTGTTAGGTCTAGGTAAGTAGGTAGGTAGATAAATAAAAAGAAAAAGAAAGCGGAGGGAGTAGCGGGCTCACCAATGAAGCCCCGCGCGGGCCCGTTCGACACGGCATGCAGCAGGCCCATCAGCCCGCACGCGTTGCGGATCGTCTGCTTGTACCATAGCACGGGCTCGTCGCCGCCGCTGCCGGTGTACTCTGGGACGGCGGCGTCCTCGGCCAGCCGGTGCGATTCGTACGTCGCCGAGACGGGGAACACGAGGAGCAGGGCGAGCGCGGGTCGCGGCACGAAGGCGAGCAGTTCGGGCTCCGTGATGGAGTATACGTCGTGGATCTGGAGGGCCTGGCTTAGGCCTAGTTTGTGAAGCAGGGAGGTCATGAGCTCGGGGTTCGCTTCGAGGGGGACGAAGGCTAGGGAGCCGGGTGCTGGGTCGGGGTTTGTGGTTGTTGACATGGTGTCTGGTGTGGTGGTGGTGGAGGTGGTGGATGTTTGGTTCGTGGTTTGGTGGATGAAGTTCGTATGGTTGTATTGTACTAGGTTAAGTGGTAGATTAGATTGGATTTCTCTTGCAAGTGTCTACCTAAGGTTACCTAATTTAACCCGAGGAAAGGTTTCGTATTTAGAATTTAGTATCAGTCTGAATAATCGTTGTAATGTATATTGCCCCGCTACGACAGGGGTTTGGAGGCAGCTAGCAATATGACGCCACTCATCTGGCATTCTAAAGCTCCAGCTTTATCGATAGGAGTGGGGTATATGGATAAGGGTCTCTACATATACTGTATTAGTACCTGGGTACCTATGTACTCGTATTCGGTATGACAAAGAAACGTAGGTACCTACATAGTGGATAGCTTCACGAAATATTAAGAGTTGCCATTTTCGCGTTAAACCTTTTATTTCTCACCACTAAATATCTTGTGTATATCATCACGTCTCATATCCCATATTCATATAATCATAGGTGTATACACACATCTCTAACCCAGTCGTTTCTTACGCTAAACTCCAACAAGCCATCTCCCAGTAGTTATTCTTTTCTCTCTCAAAGTCGTAATCCATAACATCGTTGTCCATCTACTTTCCCCCTTTACCTTTCCCTTTCCCTTTCCCAAAAATAAAAGTCCAGACTTTCGCTAGTCCGAGCTCTTCTTCCGGCTCTTGCGACCCCTCTTCAAGCTATTGATACCGTCTTGTATCATGCTGCCTGTGCCGCTTGCAGCTTCCTGGCCGCGCTCCTTAACTTGGTGCTTTTCTGCTTCATCATGAATATCCTTTACTACGTCCTTGCCCACGCTCGTGCCGCCGGCCCAGTCTAGCAGCCCCCAAGCACCGAAGTTACCGCGCCCGCCGCTTGCATAGTGCGTCGCAGTGCGTCGTGTGATGCCGCCTATAATAATACCTGGCACAATGCTGTAGCCAGACATGGACAGCGTCTCCTCTAACGTCGTCAAGATAGTAAACAAGAAGTATGTGAGCAGGTGCGGTTGGATGACCATGGCTGACAGGTATACCGGTAATGTGCGATTAAAAAGGAGCGGCAGCGGATGATCTGTATACAGCATCAGGGCATAGGGAGCGCCGTGCTTGCGCGAGTGCGCGTATGCGTTATGTAGTCCTGCCACTCTCCCTCGAGAGTGTAACACAAATCGGTGGAGGTAATACGTCAGGAACTCGCGTGCGGTATACAACATTAAGATATGCTTCGCGATCTGCCAGGGGAGTGGCAGTGCCGTACTAGTCTTGAAGAGCGGACGGTGCAATAGTGTTCCAGCGCCTATGGATATACCGGATTGTACCGCGGTGCTGAGCGCAAGGTTGAAGATAGCGAGCAGGATCTGCCGAAGTAAAGAGGCAGCACTTTGTCGAGGGAGAGAAGTAGAACCATAGAACTTAATAGATTCTGCCAAGCTGGGAACCAGTGTGTCGAATAACAGAAAGAAGAGCGACGGCACCAGCCAGAATACTATTCGCACTGCTAGGGTGCCGATCAACTCGATCCTCAGAGGCGAATGAGATAGGACGAGTGTCGTCCAAGTCATATAGAAAAATAGGAGATTTAGCGACCCCGACCACGACGACAGCATCGGCCCACCGAAATATGAGACTATCGGAAGGGATAGTAGGAGATCCATTTTGTTGGTATTACCGTTTATGCTTCTTGAGTATACAAAAGCGCTGGATGAAGAGATATGTGTTCGGTAAATATGTACATCTATATGTCTGGCTACCTATTTAACAATGCAGTATACTCAGACATGAGACGATGATGATGCCTTAGGATTTAGTTTCTCAAGACTTCGTTGTTCATCTAGAAGCCAAGATACCTCAATCATACGAAAAAAAAAATCCTAAGATTCCTACGTGTCTTAGGCCTCACCTTGCCTTGAGTCCTTGATTTGATGCGCACCTGCTAATGAACAGCTCAATGACGTATGTTGTGCTGTCATTTGGTATCTAACTTCTTGATTGGTCGCGCTGTTGATGAGTTCTCGTCTCCCCTGTTAGCTTAGGCGGGGCCGTAATTATTTGGTCGACGTGAAGCCCAAACTGCTGGGCTTCCATGCCAAGAAATACGTGCAGCAGCCGTCGTGGGAGCGGCTTCGATTTGGCATTTGCGGGGCATCTTCTTAATTAAGCCTGCTAAGCTGCTTAGGTTAGGTAAGCTGCTACCCAGGTTAGGGTTGTTCTAGGCCAGGTACCTAGGTACATACAAGGGCACGGGAAGCCTCCACTAATAGCCCGATAGCTCAGGTCCTGAATGTTTGTTAACAATTCAATATTCAACAATTCAGGTCGCACGCAACATTAATATTAAAAGTGCTACTGTCTTTTGATTTTCCAAATGACCAAGCAAAGACGAGCTTAGCACCACGTGTAATTGTTACATAGGTAAGATCTATAACTACCGTCTCAAAGTTATTCCTTGCAGATGACGAATCATTGCGGACATGAGTCCTGGCCTGCTGCGACATCATCATCTTACAAAGATGTGACAGCACAGTTTTTCGACATGGACCCATGGCATATAACCCCAGGAAAACGACGTGACTGTTAGCTAGCTATTTGGGCTGATCCTACTCATCAGGGTTTTATTTTGTTATGTTTAGTTTTTTATTTTTCTTTATAGATCTAGTCTTCGAACTCAATTCAGGTTTAATCTTCAATAACTAACCAGACATGAACTATTGGAAGAAGCTCCGCCAGATCGCTATGTTCCGAGCACGGATTCATAGGAGTCCCTTGCTGTAGGACAATATAGCTTAGGATAGCTGATATTGCTCCAGGTTGAATTCATAGCTCTCAGACAAGCCTACGGCATTGGCAAGAATGCCTATCAGCTTCTGTCATTCACGTGGCGTTTGCAGCTTGTCAATATTCTCGACGCATGAACCCACCGAAATTGAGAAGCTCTGTGCGGCTTTCCAAGACCAAGGACATCATCCAAAGGGGTAAATTCCGAGACCAGGTCGTCCACAAAAACAATTTCCGGTCCTTCACTGGTGATAGAAAATAAAACCCAAGGCAAAAAAAGTTGCGACTCGTCATGTTAAGCACGAAAAATCTGTTTTCGTCTCTACGCTCGGCGAGATCCTCTTTAGGCATTTTCGTCGTGATATGAGCCTGTTAGTACACGATACGGGACTGACATATCACCTGTAGGACTTTGTACGTTGTACTATAACTGCAAGTGATCTGATGGTTTTCGTTAATGATCTGGCTGCATAGCTTCCTTTTTGCCCCGTCTCACTTGCGGATAGTTCATATATATTAGGTACCTATATAAGGTAACGAGCACATTGAATACAAATAAAATAGGTTATCAGACTTAGCTGATGATGGCGAAGCAGGAATAAGTAGAGAAATACTTGAGACCCAAGTTCTTGAGACCCAAGTTCCACCCGCTCGTAGAATTAGGTTGTTATTTTACGTCTTTGCGTATACGAAATGTTGCCTTTATATCATACGTTTTTTATACTGCTTCCTTTACCGCTTGCTACCAAATGCTGTACAAATAAACGTTACCCGTTGTAGCTGTAACCCAATTCGATACTACCTACTCAACGCGCATATTCTGAAACGGAGTCGTACATTTCAATATATTTTGTGTGTTCAGATATGTAACCTTTCAATGTATGAGATGTAGGTTAGGTACCTACATAACGTAGCAGAAAGAGACCTAAGCTAACTTTTCAGGGGCATGCATGCTAACTCCGACGATTGGAAAAGTTTAAGACTGGCGTTAGTTAATCTAAATTAGGCTCAGCTTCTCAATCTTGCCACTTTTCTGGGCTCGACTTATGGGGCAAGAAAAATGTCGATCTGAAAGTAAATTTTAGACTAATAAGACTAGACATACCTTTTATGATACAACATATCCGTACCTACCTATCATTAAGAAAATATTTGGAATACAATAGTTAAAAACGTTAATATAGAGTAAACATACTAGGTTTTGTATCATTCGCCCGTTCAGAATACCGAATGCAGCTATGTAGCATCTGTAGGTAAAAGTACCTAATGTATCACCTGCAGAAACCGCCAGGCACATGCATAATGTCAGGGGTACTTACCTGTGCTCGGTGCTGCAATACATAACACCAGGTATTATTATTGCTGCAAGAGCAAGAGGGACCCGAACAGGTTGCACACAGACTTTCCGATCAAAGTAAACTACAACCACTTGAGGCTTGTTATCGGTAGTTCAGTACCTAATTAGACCTACCTTACTTTCCTTGCCTTCCTTGCCTTCCTTACCTTCCTTATCCAATGATAATAAGTTGACCTAATTATTCGATCGCCGAGATGTCCACTCCCATTTTCCCCTGAGTCTAACATCGATCAAAGTTGGCCTTCCGCAAATTACAGTACACGCTACCGGTTCCGAGAATTTTCTCCCATCAATATGAATCGCGGTAATCTATTCTTCAAAATCTTTTAGCTAAAGTTCTGTTTTCGATACCCAGTTAATAGCCAGTACCGTCCATTTCTCAATTTATCCTATATACCCCTGTACGTAGTAGTCGGATCTACACTACGAGACGGCCGACCGTCGTACCCTAGTCGCGATTGGCATGATTGTACATACATACATACGGGACCTACCAGCCTACCTAGCCTACATATGTACAATTTAAGCGCCTCTTCCAATTCTCGGACCTTGGGACCTTGGTGACCTGCAGCGAATCTGTCTCGGTATTGACCTAGCATCCTGCATCTCGCAGCCACATCCCATCCGGTTCGTCCAGTTCGTCCTTCCCTCCTCTGACCTCCACATTTGCTGCATATTCTACCGAGTTGGAGTTGGGTGTTGGACTTGGACTTGGACTTGGACGTTAGAGTTGTACACCGCTTCTGCACGCGGCAGCAATCAGAGACACAGGTGAGACCAGTCGCAATTAGGCAAAAACATCCTCAGCCCTAGCCTCGATCGCTGTGGTTCATTCCCTTTCCTTGCGTCTAACCGCTATGGATTACGGTGCCGCATCCAAGTCAACCGCTGCCGGACCACTGCCCCCTATTCCCCGTCAGAGTCGCCACCAATCCCGGAGGAAGGTAATTGATCCTTCTATGCACTTACATCTTCGTGACGGTGACATAGATCGTGTCGGCGTATCACCAGCCTCTCCCGAAGTAATTTCGTCTCTAATTACCAGTCTATCTGTCATCTCAAAGCCGGCGAATAAGCATTTCGAGGGTCAAAGCCTGTCTACGCCAAACTCGCCACGCGACGGTAGCTTCGGTGTTGAATACGGGGCATTTCCTGCTTCTAAGCTCGGCCGGTTACAGGAGGAGGATATTGACATCAACGAATTGGCTGCCAGTTCCCCTACCATTCGGACAGCGAAACCGCCATCTGGCTTCTCCCCATTGACTGCCCCAAAATCGCCACGTCGTGAGTCTTCGGGCGGAGGGTTGAAGTCTCTCTTGCGCAGCTCGTCTAGACCATCGTCAAAAGGTTCCGTCTCGTCGTACGATGACACACGTAGTATAGGCAATCTTTCGATCGAACGTGGATTACCACCTACACCCGAATTGCGCAGACAACGATCGCACGACAGCTGGGGAAAGAAGCAATCTCGCAGTCACAGGGGTTTGATGTACATGAGCTCGAAAGAACGGTTACGTGCCAGCGAGATAGAAAAGAAGCGCGCAAGCTCGGGGTCCATTGGCACATCTAATAGTTTAGGTGCATTGTTACCCAGGACTGACACTATTCTTGCCGAAATCCCGATTTGCGAAGAACCGAACGATTCACCAATAAAAGAAAGCATGTACAATTTGAGTCCATCTTTCGATACCAACAGCGCCCATATGTCAATTCCAACTCGCGACTCTTCTTTGCGCAAGACGGGAACCAACGCCAAAAGATCCTCACATAGGTCTTCACGGTCGCGAAAAGAAGACGACGGTTTCGGCGACATTATTCCGGAAGGATCTGAACACACTATGTCGCGCGATCCATCCCATACAAGACGACGACACATAAGCCGAGCAAACTCGGAGGCTGGCGCTCGGAGAAGAGACGATTCTCTACCACCCGAAATGCCACACTCAGCAAGAGCAAGCACGTCTTCTGCTAAGAAACCCCAGGAACCCAATTATAGGCATCAGCGCTCAAGATCATATTCAACCGATACAAACGGATTTGAGGATGGCGCTCCATCTCCGGCGGTAGCGCAGAGTAGAAGACGTAGTGCGCATGGAAGTGATCGCAAAACACCAGGGCGCACGACTCCGGACTTGGGCGAGATAATTAAACCTAAACGAAGCAGCTCACGGTTAAAGCGTCTTTCGGCAGCAGGGCCTAAAAGCCCGGAGCTAGAAAGGAGAAAAGAGGCGGCTACTCCGGAGCCCGTGGTGGGTTATGAGCGACCTCAAAGCGCGGATTCCATCGACGATGCTGTCGAGTCCTATTTGTGTTCGCCAAGGTTGTCGCAGAAGATCCGACATCCGCAGACTGGCCGTGTCATATCATTTTCTGAAGTTGGCGATGCTGAAGGTTCAGCAGTATTTTGCTGCGTAGGCATGGGCTTGACTAGATATATCACCGCGTTTTATGACGAGCTGGCGCTGACACTGAAGTTACGTCTAATCACTCCCGATCGGCCCGGCGTGGGTGATAGTGAGCCGTATGCTGACGGGACGGCGACACCGCTCGGTTGGCCTGGTATGTCTATGCCCTTGTTTGATATCTTGCGCGAATATTAACAGATTATAGATGATGTTTATGCCATCTGTCAGGCGCTCAAAATCAACAAATTTTCTATCCTTGCGCATTCTGCTGGCGCTATTTACGCTCTTGCTACCGCGCTCCGCATGCCACAGCACATCCGTGGCCGTATTCATCTTCTAGCTCCTTGGATCCCTCCGTCGCAGATGAATGTGTTCGGTACATCTCAAGCCTTACCTCCTACCAATGCAATCCCTACATCCCAACGGATTCTCCGAGCCTTGCCAACCCCTTTCCTTAGAGCAGCTAATAGCTCCTTTATGACGGCTACCAGCAGCTCTATTACTAGCTCATTACCTAAAACTAACACGCGTCGCGGGAAGCGGAAGTCCTCTGCCCCTGTCGGCTCAAGCAATCGCCGAGATATAGCACCTAGCTTGGACAAGGAGAATTTAGTGCAGGACACTGCAGACGGGAAACCCCTCCCACTCTCTGCCAGCGAAAATATGGATCGGTATCGTCCTAATGACAACGAATTCAATCCTCAAAATACTATTATTGCTGCGGCTACCGACGCTATAGCGGATAAAGAAAGACAAATGTCATACGACATGCGGCTTACTCACGCGATTTGGGAACTCGCTACTACAGGAGCCAACCCTGCTGTGGACTTGCTTGTCTGCCTAGAGCGAAGGCAAACAATTGGCTTTCGCTATGTAGACATTACCCGCCCAGTCACTATTCATCACGGAAGCAGGGATACACGTGTCCCGGTCGAAAACGTCAAATGGCTTGGAAAGACAATGCGGCGTTGCGAGGTCCGCGTTCTCGAGGGTGAAGGACATGGACTGATGGCTAGCGCTACAGTTATGGGCTCCGTATTAATGGAGATAAGTAAGGAGTGGGATGACTGGATGATACTTACAAATTCGAAGCGGACCGACGAGAGAGGCCGAAGCATACGAGCCAGCGCCCGGTGAAGAAGCATAATTATGGTATAGATAGGTGGTTTTCTGGAGGAGCATCATATCGTAATATTTGCGATTTGGATCATACCCGGCGCATGGGAGTTTTGCTGAATCAGGGCTTAATGGTAATAGGATTCTCATAAGAAGGGATATTTTTGTTTTGTTGCTTTATATACCATGACAAGGTTGACAGTGCTCTACGCCCATTAAGAACCTATTAAGCTTCATAAAATCAAGCGTTAGAGATCAAGGCTGGGCGTTGTTAAATGGGTATTGGAGAACCGAGGAGGATACCGTGTACAAGTAGTTCTTAAGTCATAAAAACGACTCGGCCGAGAGTCTACCTACATAGCAACTTAATGTCTAACTCGAATCTCCTTTTTGAACTGGGCTGTAATTAAGAATTTATGTCACCGGGCACCTGCATTCACTCTTGATGTATTGAGTACCTATGTACCTAGCTAAATGCACGGGCCCATTCCAGTGTTACCGGGATAAACTTCGGCGACCCACGTGATCTATTCCTTCCCTAGCTTAGGGTCTTTCCTATGCGATCAACCAGTCAGCCAGTCAACTAGTCAACTCGATTTCGCTGTGGAAATTTTACGAGACGAGACGCGTTGCGTTGCGCTGCGACAAGACGAACGGCCCCCGACAAGCTCATGCAAGCCATAAACATATATTGATCTTTTAATCCACCCCAACTCCAAACTTCATTCTACTGGGTACGATACATGCATACAATACTCCTTCATTCTTAATCAAGTCTTAACCCAAGTGTCCGACTTTCTAGTTCCAAATATTGTTTAGCGCGTTGCCAGCCTTCAATTATCCTTTCCAACTTGTATTATCAGCATGAGATGACATAGAAAGACTTGACTGCAAAAACTGCGAAAACTGCGAAAACTGCGACACAACATGGAGGCTAGAAGTACTCCGCAGGCGTTCCTCTCGTCCTACGCGCCGCGATTGCGCGTTTACAATAATTCTCTCCTCACTCCCGTAATTCATTCTACGGCACCTACCGGCCCGGTATCGCGAACGACGAAACGTGGCACTACTGTAATTAATTATGCCGAAGACGGATATGACTACGATGATGACGATGACGATGACTCGAGACGGCGACCTACGGGCTTGCGTAGTCTGAGACGAGAAGACAGCGCATCACGAATAGATCCGAGCGATAAGTTTGGGAAGGAAACAAATGCCCCTGTTGCGGTTCAGGGCATCTGGAGGGATTGGATGCTGAAGACCAAGAATCGATCAGATCTAAACAACCAGGCCCAAGCTGCGATGCCTGTTACTCTTATTCCTATTCGTATCGACGTCGATATTCCTGCCTTCATGCCCTCCGCGGCGTACCCTCTGCCTCGGGGTCTTAACCAGCCACCTCCTCAGATGGACCCTGCGTTATACAGGACAGGCGACATGACGGTTCCCTATAAGCTAAGGGATATTTTCTTGTGGAATTTGCACGAGACTGTCATGACCACGGATCAATTCGCGCTCAGCCTCGTTCAAGATCTGGATCTTCCCAACCAGGGCGCTATTGCTGCTGAGATCAGCAGACAGATCAGAACCCAACTAGAAGAGTACGCAGGTGTTGCGCTCCATCCACTTTTCCACTCGGAAGATAAGGCGCCTACGAATGGCGTCGGGCTAGCTCCTCAGTTGAGCTTCCGCGATACCCCGGCAACTCCAGCTACTCCTCTCCCTAATTCAACACGTGCTCCTGAAACTCCGTTCCGAAATGGTCTCGATACCGGATTTGATACTCCAAAGGGTGCTCGTTCGCAGGTCCCCGAAATAACGGCCAGCGCCACACCAATTCCCGCCGACTCGGATGAGCTGAACCCCGACGACACCTACCGATGTATAGTTTCCCTCAACGTAAACCTTTCTTCCCAACTCTACACGGACAGGTTCGAATGGTCGCTACTCCATCCCCCTGGCACAGCAGAGGCATTTGCCAAAGTCACGTGTGCGGATCTGGGCCTCGCTGGTGAATGGGTTCCCGCTTTAACGCATGCGATATATGAGGCAGTATTACGTCTTAAAAAGGAAGCTTGCGAAGCTGGCGGTCTCGTGGCGGGATGGGGTGGTATGGGGACCGAGTTTCCCAATGACGCTGCTCACGGTGCGGATGCCGGTTGGCGGTACGATCCTGAGCACCTCGCAGACGAGTGGGAGCCTAAGATCGAAGTGCTGTCGAAGGAAGAGATAGAGAAGCGAGAAGTCGACCGAGAACGACAGATCCGACGTCTTCGCCGAGAAACTGCCAGATTTAGCAGTAATGCCGGCATGATAGGTGGCGTACCAGGATTGGGCTTCGAAGTTGAAGAGGAGAGGATGGGACGTGGAGAGAGATCGAAGAAAAAGAGGAGATTCCGTAGTTTGAGTCCCCTTGGGCGATCTGGTACTCCGGGCGGCAGGAACACGCCAGATGTTGGATACGGCGGAGGAGGGGGTGGAACGCTCACCGACCAAGAGAGGCTTAACTGGCGCTGTACCCATTGTCGTATCTGGGGTACGAGCGTGTGGGCAGTCAGAGATGGACCTTGGGGTCCTAGGGTAAGTTACATTCCGATCTTTTACATGGGGATATTTTCTAACGACCGTCTGGCGTAGTCCCTCTGTGCCAATTGTGGTCGATTCTACGAGCAAACCAAGAAGCTGCCTCGGTGGACAAAGAATTTACACTTGGTGGACTTGCGTCCATTTTAGGGTGATGGAGCTCGCGACCAGGCTCGCGACCAGGTCCTTGTGCCTTCTGTGGAGAAGGACGTGCCTATAACTAGAGTTCGCAAGAGGAGAAGAACCAGGAAGTGATTTTAGTGCCAGGGTTGTGTTTACGAGAAAAAGGCGTTTCTGGTCGGAAACTTGCAATATAGCATGGGGAGTTTTTCTTTTAAAATCACCTGCCAGGAGTCGTTGGCTATGGTCTATACCACTGACATGTCTGCGGGCATGAAGGCGCAGACAGTTAATCAAGATGACTTCGCTTGCCGTCTGGGCTGTCTCAAGGGCAAATGTTGCATTTCTTCTTTCTGTTGGCTGTATCATCGCCGCCCCCCATTTGTATACTAGATTACAGGTGCGCGCGAATGCTGCAAGGAGACACTATCGAGAGAACTCCGCCACGTTAGGGAAATGCCCAATACTAAAAGCACTAATTGCTGTTGCACCTGTTGTACTAATCCCGATGAATATCTCGCATTGCTACCTATCCAAGCCCTTCCCACAAACATACACTACCTATATATCAACCTTTACATGCGATTAGGTTCCTAGTTAGGTTACCTATCCATCCTAATAGATTCCTGGGAGAATCTTGTACGGCACCTCGCGCTTGAACTGAGCCCATTGCTCTTTATACTTGTTGGTGCAGTACTCGTCGAGCACGCCCGCAGCACGGTAGCTCAGATCCCACATCTGCCAGGACATCATAAGGAGCCCGCCGATCCAGCCGGTGGCCACCATGGTGTACCCGCCGCGCCAGAGCGAGTAGCCGAGGTAATTGACGTGGCGGGCCCAGCGCCACACGCCGACCTTGCACACCTTGCCCTTGTTCTCGGGGGCGTCCTTGAAGGCCTTGCGCTGCGCCTCGGAGACGGTTTCCAGGGCCAGGCCGAAGACGTACATGGACAGGCCGAGGAGGGTGCTGAGGGGGATGCTAACGGGAGTGGTCACGAAGGGCAGGGAGACGGCGATCTGGGGCTGGGAGAACAGGGACGAGGTGGCGGGCGCGAGGGATAGGATGCCGTTGGCGCTGTTTATCACCGTGTTGTACAGGGCGACAGCCGCCGCGGCACCCGCCGGGAAGGACTCGTACGAGAGCACCGTCTGCCAGTAGATCTGCTTGGCGGCGGAGCCGCACGCGAAGACGAAGAGCAGGGCGCTGGTCGGGTGGCCCAGGGCGTCGAGGAACGGGATCCCGGTGTGCAGGAGGGCGGCTGCGGATGCGCCTACGGCGCTGGTGATGCCGGCGCGGGCTAGCAGGGCGCTGCCGAGACCGGCGGGCGCGAGGAGAGCATGTTGCAGAGGGAGGTCTAGGAGGCGCAGGCCGACGAAGGTCAGGGTGCCCCAGGGGGTGGGGGAGCGGTCGCCGCGCTGGATTAGGTCGGCTTTCTTCTGCCAGGGTTTGGAGTCGGGGTTGGAGTCGGCCATGGTTGGTTGACTCGATATATTATGGTGAATGCTATGGTGTTTTTATTTTATTTTATTAAAAAAAACGTACATATATATCACGAAGATTTCGAGTCATGTAAGAGGGACAGATGATTGGATTGTTAGGTAGGTATGTATTGATAGAGTTAATGATGATGTATTAGATAAATAGAACAGAACCGTAAGCTGTGGACGTCCGAGGACATCATTGATGTTGTACGACCACCGCGCGTCATGCGGATTTCAGCTCGGATTAGCGAGGGAGAGATTAGAGAGGCGTTTTTAGTGCAGTTGAGAACGCTGCTTTCTTAAGACTTACCTAGGAGGTACCTAAGATGGTAGCGTATTTGATGCTGACTGACAATCAAATCTGAGTATCGACAGATACATGGCAGTTACCTAATTATCGACAGTAGATCTCGCAGCTGTACACTAGCAAGAGCTCTTACCTTACATGCAGCAAGGAAGGTGAGGTAAGGTAAGGTAAGGTACGGCGGGAAGCTCATGTGGAGCTCCGTCGATCGATGACGGCATGGCTTTGAAACCGCGGGTTTAAGGTTTGCATAGGTAGTGATAAGAGTTATCGGTCTGTGTACAAAGTACATGACATACACTACATGTAGTTAGTTGAGAAGTTACGAAATCTCCCTCTTAATAAATCGCTTTGCCTTATTACTCGTTACCAAGTACCTATATGAGGAAGCCAATGCTCAATTATTACCTGTTTCTCCTACCCTATGTACTAGCTCTCATAAGCAAACACAGGCATCGGATCTGCACATCAACTTTTAGTCTCTCCGCTATCCGCTTCATATCGCGATTTCCGGGAACGTGCCGCCATTCCGGGATAGAACTCGGTGGAGCAAAGTAGGCATGTCTTAAGCCGGCGATGGCGCCTTGGCTATGAGGTACTATATCTTAAAGGTTTTTTTATAGCCCATGCTCACTTGTACATCGAGTATAGAGAAAGTCGAGCTCGAGTCGCAACAGGCGACAGCTCACGTCGACCCCGTTATCTCAACAGAACAAAATATATAAGAAGCAAACTTGTGACAGAAGCCTGCGTTAAGTAAAGCGACTCCTCCTACATCGCAGAGTGGCATCACAACATCCTTATGCTACATAATCCATGCTACATAACCTATGCACCTACGGGCCCGCTCGGCCGTCCCTTATACGACGGCGAGTAGTATAGAGACCTTGAATCGGTGTTATATCCCGTCTTAGTCAGAAATTGCATGGTTACATACCTAGCTATACACTAGTTAGGAATAGCCGAGGTTCGTAGCTTCTTTCTGCAGGCCTTTAAAGCCACGATCAGAGCTAGCTATCACGTATTTTTTTGTTAGAAGTTTACCTAAAGGTTACTAGGTAAAAGGGTGAGTGCTCTACTGTTCCCTCTTGTCTATGGAGTAACGTTCCTTATGACCCTTATACTTGACCCGCAGCTAAATTTTAGATCAAGTATTTGACGGACTGCGTAAAGGATTATAGAAAATGCAGGTATATCTCGAAGAATTCAACTGAGAGTTACTTGCGGGTTAAATATCAAGGCGCGGCGGGAGCGGAGGTAGGATATGTTACTAATTGTCATCCCAACAACCTGGACGGAGCTTATAATGCGATATCTTGATAATTACAGATCGTTGCTATTTGCAAAATACCCTGCGTGTAAGACATCCAAACCCTATCCTAGTGTCTCCATAATAGCTCCTATTGGATTCCCAGGAAGAGGGTCAGATGGCTCGGCGGGCTCTAGCTGCAACCTTCTCTAATGCAAAGCGAAAGCGGTTAATGCATTGAGCCACCAGCCAGTCTCTTGTTTATTCGTTTATATAAACAACCTCGAGGTTCGATGGGCGAAGTAGACTGCCAAGCAATTCTCGCTGTCCTCTTTCCCCTTTTCAGCCTCCAAAAATAAACCCGAGAAGTATTCCAACATGGCCGAAGTTCCTGTTATCCAAATCCTCAACAAGAAGGATTACTTCAAACAGGCTTTGGTGCCTATTCCGGACCCCCTACCACCTCTAGGGGAGTCGTCCCTACGGATTCGGACGGAGGTCATTTCTCTGACCTCTAACAACTTTACCTACTGCAAATTGGCTGACATGGCCGATTGGTGGGGCATCCACCGAATCCCGCCTACGGCCCCGGCACCATACAACGATGATTCCGTTTACGGCCGTATCAGCGCCTGGGGTTACGCCAAGGTCGTCGACTCTACATTTCCCAGCGTGCCCAAGGGAAGCTACGTCTGGGGATATCTCCCTATCGGTACCCTGCCCCTAGACTTCCAAGTCAGGGAGACCGGCGCCCCCGGCCAGTTCTTCGTCACGGAGCCATACCGGAAAAAGCACCTGAACTTGTACAACCACTACTTTGTCTTCCCGGAGTCGACGTCTAAGGAGATCCAAGCCAAGGCCGACGCCATCGCCTACGATGCCTTGTTCCGCGTCATGCACCTGACCGCGTTCCTCATGGCCGAGTTCATGTTCGCCCAAGACCCTAAGCAGTCCGTCAACCTGACCCCGGAGCAGGCAGATCTAACAGACGCTACCGTCATTAACTTTGCGCCCGGCTCCAAGGTCGGCCTAGCGTTCGCGCGCGCCTTGCGGACAAACCGTACGGCGTCGAAGCCGGCGCGCATCGTGGGTGCCGCAAGCGAGTACTCGCAGGCGTTCGTCAAGAGCACAGGTCTATACGACGCGGTAGAGGCGACGAGCGCGGACCCTCTCGAGGTAGCCTCGCGACTAGGCATCTCCAAGGACAGCAAGATCGTGATCGTAGACTTCGGCGGACGCAATCACGTGCAGTGGAAGTGGGCAGCAACCCTGGTATCTGCGTACCCGCGCGTGCAGTTCATCATCGTAGGCGCCGAGGTCTCGGAGCCCTCGGCCGCAGTGGCACCCGACGGCAAGCCCCCGACCGGCCTCGACATCTCGCAAGTCATGGCCGACACGCAGCAGAACCAGGCCATCGCCAAGTTCGGCGAGAAGGAGTACTACGCGCGTGCGGACGCAGCGTGGGAGAACCTCCGGAAGGAAGGCATTCCCGGCGTGAAGCTCGTCTGGGGCGAGGGCATGGAGTCGGTTAGGGATGCGTGGGATAGGTTTGCCAAGGGTGAAGTCTCTTCGGAGGAGGGGCTTGTCTTTAAGGTATGAGGGGACAGGAAGTTCGTTGGTGAGCTATGAGAGGTATTATCGAGGCCGCAAGCTGGGCGAGGGTTTCTCACCTACTTATCGAATTCTACGACTTATAGCTTAAGTACATACGTACCTATCAATCGAATAACGTAAAAGAGTCTTTCAATGTTTTTTATAGGCCTTAACTAATAGTGCTATAGGTGCTTCCCCAGTAATTCATGTTGAATATGTGTATGTATGTATGTATGTATGTATGTATCGATGGATATTGCCCTGCACATATGAACTTCAATATTCTCTAGGCAGGTATGTATTTTGAAGGTGCGTGTGCTTAGACTTTGTTAATTTGGGCAATAGGTAGCTACCTCTTAACGTACCTGGCTTTATCCCATGTGCTATACCTGTTTGCCTAGACGTTTATGTGGTAGGTACGATTCAGGGGCTACGGCCCCATCATCGTTGCTGTCTGAATTACATACTAGATAGACCTTGAAGGAAGGCGCGAGTTACCTGCAAAGTGTATTATAAGATCGAATCTTTACCTAATCGTTAATATCCACCGACTTTTACCTTTTAACTACACAACATCATCTTCTCCATCAAACTTTCAATCTCCCCTAATCTCATAGCACAATGGATAGAATTCCAGAGGATGTTATCATAATTATTGCTTCTTTCCTTCCATCCGGTGGCCTCGCACCCTTCGCTACGTTGTCACGGCCGTGGCAGCGAGCTATCGAGCGGCGAGCCTTCTCGGCTTTGCGCATTGACATCACGACTAATGACCTACACGTTTTCGAGCGTAGCGTTTGGACTGATTATATGCGCCGCAGGTTCCTGAAGGACCTCACGTTCGTCATCCAGCTATACGTTGACATGAAGAAAGTGACACGGGATTTACGCCGGCTCTTCCTCATTCTAGCCGAGAGCGACGATGAGAAGAAAATGACCCTGACCCTGGAGCTGTTTGGGAATATCCGTGACGAAGACAAAGACAAAGATGAGGAAGCTCAAGGGGTGCGTCGGGGGGATCAACATGGCTTAGCTGATGCTCCGGTTGAGGCCAACTTCCTCTCCGGCACAGAGTGCCAAAATGTGTCTCTGTCGCTGTTGTGTACTGATATACGTGCGTTCGACAGAGATGATCTATGGGTTCCCGATAGAACGAATTCGTTATCATACGATCCTCTAGGAGCAGCTGCTACATCAGCGGCGTCTTTGACGGCTCGCTTTTCTGGCCGAGCAAAAGCGAACAGTCAAAGATGCCTGTCTCACCCTGGCCTCGCCTAAAAGAATTCCATATCAGTCTTGCATTGACGACGCCGGCAGGAGGCTGGTACTTTATAAGACAACCAGACACTCGCATTCGAAGCGTGCCTCGCGAGGACACGATGCAGCCGTTGTTTGCGGCCTGGGCCAAGGCGCTCGAATCTATGTCTGTCCTGGAAAATGCCACCGTTCGCTTCTATGTACCTGACGGATCGATGGGTCCTAGCCCCTGGTCGGTCATCTTTCCAGTACCTAACTCCGACGTTCACCCCCTTCAATCTCCTGTAAAGGGGAGACCAAAAATCTATTTGCATAAATCAATGCTTGCATTTGAGGGTACCAGGGGCTGGCGACCTGAGAAACCGACCATGAGGAAGTTGCAAGCGATGCTTAAAGATGGGTTCCCAAGCAGAAAGATAGTCATCTGTGGGAGCTAGGTACCTTACCACGTTATGTACACACTAGGTTCTACGAGTTAAAGTAGACAAGAAATGAAGTCTTGCGGTATAACAATATCATTACTAAATGCCACGTATTTCAGTTGAAAAGCATACACCCTGATTAGACTTGGGCCCCTCTAACTTCCGCTTAATAACACAGGTAGTTATTCACTTGAAAAGGGTATGTATTAATGGTTAGAATCTTACCAAGAATAGCAAGTCATCTGAGATGCTTTTGCCATATCTAAGTTCTATGCCGGATCGTAATGTAGATGAGAGCGAGAAGATGAAGACTTAAATTGCGAACGGCACCATAAATCATAAATGCCTCATAACGAATATCATCTTCCCTCCCGTCCCTATAATAGAATGCCCGAAGCCAGACACCATGCTAATCACGGACCGTCTCAACGCCCTTCCATGCAGACATGCCTCGATAGACCAACCAGATCTCTATGCCGTCGAGGTCGTTTATATTCCAAGGAAACCACAGTTCCTTTACGCTACTCAAACTTAGCTCCCCTCGACCCTCCCGAACTTCCCCTCATCAGAGCCTCAACATCAACACCTACCCACTTCATCTCCCTACCTATTGACGGTGCAGATACATTTTGGGGCGGTGTCGCGCGTTGTTTTATATGCTTTCTTACGCGCAGGCGGTCTACCAATTCGCCCGATATCATCTCGAAGCTCTGCTTCAGAGCCACGGACGTCTCCCAGCGCTCGCCGTACTTCCCGAGCGTCCGTGTGGTTTTCTCTAAGCACGCCAGGCTTCTCTCTACGTTGTCTACGCCAGGGCCACCAGGGCGCTGCGGTAGAGGGGGTGGCTGCGGTTTGCCGACCTCGACGAAGGGCATCGGTGGAGTGACGCCTGCGAGGAGCAGGTCTTCCGCGTCGCGGAGGACGGCGACAAACTGGCTCGCCATGAAGAAAACGCGCAAGGCGTCGTGGTATGTATAGAAGGCGGTTTTCATCTCGCGATGCGATACATCATATATACGGTCGAGGTACGCGATGGTATGCTCGAAAATGAGCAGCCGGGCATAATCAGTTATATGAGGTGCTCTGGCCGACGGCGCTATGCAATAGACGAAACTATATCGCAGTTCAAGGTCGAATAGCTCCCTCATGCCAATTGGCAGGGTATTAGGGAGCGTCTCAGCCCATTCTCTCATATCTTGACACATCTGCCAGATGAATGAGGATGCATTATGTAATGGAGTTGGTTCCGCTTGGAAAAGTGCCTGGTACCAATGTGATTGAGCTCGTCGTAGTTGGAATAGTAGGAATGCAGGCTCAGAACCAGAAAGGATTTTACCAGTGATCGATGCTCGGCGGCTGAATGACGAAGGTCGAGGCCAGCCGACATTTGTTGATGCGTCAGTGAAGGAGAAGGCGCGTGCATGAACCATACTGATGGACCTTACTCAATGAGTTAGCATCTCTTATACCACGAGCAGGGGTAGAATTATATACCTATCTAATGAATAAACGCAGTAGAAGGTCTTCCGCCTCATATCTAACACCGCCTTGTCCGAGAGCTGTTCCGGCGGAGGATCTTGGTGAAATCCCAGGTCGATTACTGCTCTAGAGGTGAAGCCGATCAAGTGCCAGCTATCGAAATGAGCCGGATCTAGCATAGAATATTGAGTGAGAAGAATCAAAGATTGTATCTGCGTCGTGTAGCCTGGCATCAACGCTCTGTCTGCGTGTTGCAAGGCCTGAGCCACAAAACGTAGTCCATTACGATAGTAATTATCGTTCTTCGCTCGACTCTGGGCGGTGGACCCAACGGCTAATACCATATATACGAGCCAATAGTCAACATCTTTGATTGCTCGCTCCTGAAACGAGTACATTTGCTCAAGGATGGTGTAGAGTGTTGTTTCGGGGAATGCAGGAAACAAGGAATAGATATTTGTCATGTAATATTGAACAAGAGCAACGGCGTCTTGCTTAGGAGGCAGAGTTAAGTCCACGACGTTTGGAAGCGGGTCGTTTGAAGCGGCAGCTAACACGAGGCGCGCAAATGTCATGTTGCTCATTGTGGGTTCGAAATCTCTTGTCGTAGCATTAATCGACCTTGCCATTCATTATTAATACATCACCGGTTATAGCCTAATGTCTGGCAGCAAGCGACTTACAAGAAGCCGAAGTCAGACATCAACGAATTGACATCGGACATTTCTCGTTTCCTAGCAGCTTTACGGTATATAGCTGCTTTGATAAGAGCAAGTGAGTCTTTCCGGTCAGACTCCGACTGCGCCGGTGACACCTCAGACTCATGTTGAGCGACGGACGCCTTTCTTGATCGAGCGTACGCAAGTCGCTTTTCTAGCTTCTCTATGCGAAGTTCGAGCGCAGCGACGTAACTAAGCAAGCCGTGTTAGAAGAGTAATAAGTAATAAGAGCGCCTAGGTATATGTAAAGCTGAGCTGGGATCTCTTACCTCCGTTCCTTGCCCCTAGCGAATTGATCGTTGGCAGCCGAGCACTCTTTCTCCCGGCCAGCCTTTTCGCAGGCAGTACATGCCGGCAATTTCCCATCGCACTGGCAATATAGTCATCAGCACCGGGATTAATATATTGAACGACAGCTGGACTACCTTGACTTTAGCACTTCGACCTATTGATATCTTAGTCTTGGCATTCTTTAACAGGTACTCAATGTATATGTTCTATGCGATAATACTGACATCTAGAGCAGGCTGACACTGGTCGTGATACCCGCAATAACGGGTTATCCGAGAAACTTGATCGCGGCATAGTACCTGTCTTCAAGCGAGAGCTTGGGCGTGTATAGTTTCCCGGATGTGGTCCCTGACGTCCAGGTATTTAATGGTATGAGATAGCGCCAATTCAAGTGGAGATCGTTTCCACAGTCGTGAGAGCTACGTGGGTAGATTAGCGGTTTTAGATTAATTAATATATGTACGTGGTATTGGTAGTAGGCGACATGCGGCGCAAGAGTCGTTAAATTTAACTTCTTTTCCGCTGAAGAAGCGTTATTGCTGTTTCGGAAAGAGATTATGACTATTAAAAGTAATAGTGGCGGTAGTAAGAATGAAAGATTCTAAGCTTGCACGTGGATATTGGATATACCGCCTTCAGAGCCTTGGGGCTCAAGTGACGAGTCGAGAAAGGAGGCTTATTACTTTTAGTGGCGTTAGTAATACGTCTACATACGGGTATGTAGAGAGTAGAGAGTAGAGAGAAACAAATAACCTAACAATCTTACCTTTGCATGTACAAGAAACCCGTACAAGGTGTGTAGTGTGTGGTGTGTGGTGTTCCGAAGATGGGCTAGACCGTCACCACTACCACAGAAAAATGGGAGAGAATAATGTGGCGGTAACTATGTATACCACAAACTGTGACCACAAACTGTGGGGGTTTCCGCCGATTTACAATTTAAGAATGATGGACCATTGCATAACTCATGGTTTGGCGGCTCCTCTTGGAAGCTTGGTGCGGCTTAGGATCTAATCGTCAACGATTCGCGGGGTTCCTTTCTTTCTTTGGTTCATCCAAGGAGCCGAAAGGACATTTGTTTGAACTTTTGCTATTTCTGTCGTAAAACATCCGCTTTCCCGTGGAGCTGGGGTCATGTTGATGCCGGGGCGAGGAGTACATATGTATACCCTGCACAAATTATATGGCATTATACATACCTATATTACATGGGTTGCCGTCGTAGCGGGAGCTCCCTGCGTCAGGGGGAGGAATTTCAACCCAGCTCGCTCCTCAACAATTTGTATAAGCCTTGTTACCACGAGGCATTCTAGTAGAGACCATGCGGGAAACCACCCGAGAATGAGATCATTTCCGCTCCTTTCGCCTCCTCGCGCCTCGTCCAGGACCGATAGTCAGTATCAGAACACCCGACTTCCCCACGCCCTCCTCTCGCCTGCAAGAGACATGCGGTAAGGCTGGGTTCTTTCTGAATCTAGTTGGTGGCACAGCTAATGGAGGTATGCTTTGCGGACAAGTGACGCGATTGCCTCGCGAGGCGCCATGGCAGCCTGCATAATAATACAGATATTTTCTTGATTCTTGCGCCGCCGTCTCATACATACATGCATGAATATCTTACCTAGGTACCTAGGTAGTACCAGACCGTTGGTCGGGTGTAAGAAAAAAGAAATAGAGAAGTCCGGTTGCATCGATAATCGTCGGTCAGCACGTTGTTGACTCCCTTAAAACCGATGTTACTGTTCCAGGATAAGCTCGATTAAAAAATGTGCCTAGTGAAAAAGCAGAGGTCAGAGGAAGGGTTTCCAAGAATAGAAACGGATTTTTGCAGTTGCACCAGGAAGAAATCCTAGGCACTTTTGCCGCACGCGTGTAAGTCAAAGTCGTAACGGCCGGGTTCTTATAGAGACTAAGTTTATATTGTAAAGCGAGATGACATGCACAAATGAACGAAACGGAATTGTATCCGGTAATAGCATTGTAATAGCATTCGTCGACCCTCCATCGACCAGCTATTGACCCAGCCCGACGTGAAGCCCATAAAGGAATAGAAAGGTGAAACGAAACGGGTGACAGGAGAAACTTTAGGAGTCGGGTGATTCGGACGACTCA